AAATGCTCTCCATCAAAATTGGGGATGAAACTGTGCTAATTCACACTGTCACCTGTAAGGTGCTCAAGGTTGTTGCCAACGGCAGGCGTATCTTGCGCTCATTGCCACGATGAAATTCGTGGGCTTGAGCTGACTATAGGTTGGACAAGTAAGCATTAATCAGACACCACAACAACAACATAAAAACGTAACACTGCAAACGAAGCGGAATAATACACTAAGCAAACGCATTGGATACCAAATATATTGCTAAACACTATTTTTTATCTTAAAATTAAAAACAAATTAATTTAGATATCTAATAGGTTTGCTCTGAATAAATTGTTGTTCGCAGAGGGGTTTATGACCAGGTTCAAACCGTGATTACAGCAGGACATAAAAAATGCTCTATGACTGATATCTAGGAATATATCCAAAATTCTTTTTTGCACACCGCAGTGTTGTTGACAACGATGTAACTTAGAGTTTCAACCGGCAATGCTACATTTCCTCCAAAAGTTTGCAAAAACTGCAGTTCATACATAAGATCTATAGTAGTATTTATATCGCTATGATTTTCATCAGTTAATGCTTTTTGTAGTTTTTGGCATAAATTGAGCCGATCTTGTAAATATATGTGACAGAAAATACGTCATGCCGATGTGTATGTAAGGGTAGAAGCCGGCGCCGTAGATGCGATCGACAAATCGCTTAGACCTTATTTTGTGTCTACTGTTGCAATCGTAGTAATCTGTGCGACATTTATCTTTTTGGCGGATTTTTTTTTCGATTGATTGTTGTTATTGTTATTTCTACATAAAAAAGGTAAGTGCAGTTACATATTATGTTAACTTAGGTTAGCTTTTTAATTCAGAAAAGCGATGATTTGACCATAATTACTCAAAAATATTTTCTTACATGAACCATTTGTTTATTAAACTAAAAATTATTATCATTCGAGAAGAAATTTTACGGACATATTTACGGAGTACCACTGACTTAAAATATACCTATCTGAGATATGAAGAAGTAAAAATACACAAGGTATTCCAAAATCAAAAATTGGCCATTTTCCGATTTTTAGCTATATGGAAAACAGAAGGAAAATGTTCCCTTATTTCATTACGACTTAAATACATACTTTAAATTTGATTTATTTACTTTAATAAACAAAAGAGTACAACCACCTCCTTGAATTATTTGGTATTGATCTAATAGTTTATAAATTTTCCAAGCAATGGTTTAAGATATACTCAGGTTTTCAGAAGTAAGGTCAAATATTTCAAAACAGTGACTTTTCAAGTGTTCTTAAGAAGTGTTTTACGTAATAGTTCTTATAATAGTTATTTTCTTTATTTTACTTCCGGTTTTCTGTTTTCACTTTTCCTTAGATGTCGGAAGAAAAACAGAAAAAACTGTCTGAGGATCAGAATGCAATGAAGAAAAAGAAAGGGAGAAGAAACTTAATAAACCACAAATTTAAAATTACTTAGTTTTTCCCAAACCCAGAGAATACCCAAGATGACCCTACTGGTACTAGTTGTGCATCAACATCTAAGCTGCCATTGAAATTGCCAAAAGAAACTAATAATCAGAAACAGTTAGAAAGTGTTTTCACTCGGGAGTTACCTTTAACTTCAACACACACTCACGGATCGTAGAAAATACAGAAGAAATACTATTGAAACTACTTTTTCTGCAGTAGATACTCATTTTCCTGTGCTTGATGATTCCGGATTAAGCACAAGTCCATTATTGCCATCCCAAGTTCAAGCCTTAATAGAAAATGGTTCTGAATATCCTGGTTTCGAGTTTCGGTTTCCCAAGAGACAAAAATGGACGTATTTTTTTTTAGATGCACTTTTGTCGAATCTTACCAAATAACGAAAGAAAGGTTGCTAAATTCTGCTGAAAAAATTATGTTTATCGTTTTTGTTGCAAAATTTTTAACAGTTTCAGCAACGCAAAACTGAGTAATTCTGAATTTAACGAATGAGCACTTAAAACTCATGAAAAAATTTAAATGCATTTCCGGAATCTACTTCTTTGGTCCGATTTCTTAGAACGATTACGAAAGAATAAACCTGTTGATTCGGAATTTCAAAATTTATTAAAAAAAAAGACTAAGCATTGGCGCGATGTTATTGAAAGAATCATCTACGCCATTCAGTATTTAGTCAAACAAAACTTAGCCTTCCGTGGTTTCGGTAACAAGTTATTCGAAAGAAATAATAATTTTTTAAAGTGTATAGAAATGATCACAAAATTTGACTCTATCATGTCTTATATTAATAAAATTCAGACTAAAAAAATATGCGTCATTACCTTGAAGATAAAATTCAAAATGAAACAACTAGGTTATTAGGGGATAATATAAATCAAATTAGTTTAAGTAAGGTCAAACAGGCAAAGTATGTTTCTATTTTACTTGATTGTACCCCTGATGCCAGCCATCAAGCGCATATATTAATTTGTATGAAGTATCTTAATTTAGAAAATGCAGGCATGAGTATTAAAGAAAGGTTTTAGTATTTTGGTGTTACAACAGATACGGCCGGTGAAGGACGAACAACATTCTTATTAAAGAATTTAGAGGGAAATGGTTTAGATCATGGGCGTCTATAACCGTTTGAGAGCCGCATTGCAAAGGACAAAAATATGCGGAGCCGCATTGCAAAGAAAAAAAAAATTGCGGGTCACACATACAATATTTTTTAACAAATTGAAATAAAAATTAGCTCATGTTGTTTTATTAAAATTAATTAACTTCTTTTCATTATTAACTTTTAAAATTTGAATTAGATAATGCATAGGTAGATATTTATTATTAATTTGTAAAAGTTTCATTTCATTTAGTTTGGACTTCATAAAGATGGAAAAAATTCAAATTAATGAGATGGATGAATTTGCTTTTGTGTTGAACAAGCAAATCAATATCGGGTTCAATAGAGGAGGTTGCAATGCTTAATGCATTTTCAAGATTTTTGTCAGTGATCTGTGTCCTAATTTTGCTTTTTGTATGCTTCATTCTTGAAAATAATTGTTCACAAATATAGTACAGCCAAAAGCTGAAGAGACATTAATAAAGCATGATTGGGAAAATTAGGATATTTATCGTGGGGTAGATAATCTTTGTGGCGTTCCGACAGATACTTCAACTTCTATTCATGAGATGGCGCCACGTGTAAAATCCAGTTCTTAATCGGAGCAGCAAAGCGACATCTTTACTCACTTAGACTTCTCGTCACACAACTGTACGCGAAGGTAGCATGAACTGTGTTCCGAGCTCTGTGTTGATCTCTTCAATGTAATTTAAATTGTAATTTAATACTTAATATATTCTTTTGTTATAGGAGATTGTCTATTCTTATTTTCTTTAATTAGATCATGCATTAAGCACACACGACCACCAAATATTTATAAAACTCCAGTAAAGAAACATTTTCAAATTTTTTTTTTCAGTTGAATGTGACTTTGCAGTTAATACTTCATGACATACTAAGATGTTTTTATTTACATTTTTATTTGAAAATAAATGCCAACGAATCTATTATATATGAATCAAATTCAAACATTTATTTTTTAATAAAATGTGTAAATTTAAATACTTTCATAATTTGCGTTTCGGCCGCATTTTAAAGACTTTTGGGCCACACTTTAGACATATATTGTTTAGATGTTAGAAATTTACTCGGCCTGAATTATGACAATGGTTCAAATATCAGAGGTAAACAGTTTTCGAGTAATTATGGTCAAATCGTTGCTTTTCCGAATTAAAAAGTTAACCTAAGTTTAATATATATGCAACTGCACTTAGCTCTTTTTATGTAAAATAGCAATAACAACAAGCAATCACAAAAAAAGATAAATGTTACAACAAATTACTACTATTGCAGCAGTAGACACAAAATAAGGATTAAGTAATTTATCGAATGCGTCTACCCTTACATAAGCATCGGCATTACGTATTTTCACGTTCAAATAAGACAGAAGAGACCACCAAAGACGAACTCCTGCCCTGGTGATAACTTTCGGTCAAATAAGACAACGGGCTAGGAGGAAGGGGCACTTAGATCTGACAATCTCGAGGCTGCCTTAAAAGTTAAACGCCCAACCCGTAGAGGCGTTCCAAGGGGCCGCTAACCTATCGGTCGAGCCCACGAGCTAAGACTGGGTCGACAGGAATATTCAGCAACTCACATTCCACGTCCCCGTTCTAGAGGGATGATAGAAACACCTGCCATCAACAGGGGCCTCAACCCCGGACAGCAGAACGAAGTCACTTAAACACTGTCAGACAGACTGGGCCACCAATCCAGCCTGCTAACACTACGTCATGGTATACAGATGTCATCTTTAGGCGCTTTCAGGGGGAAACCAAGGAAACGTTATGAATATGTAGTTTCGAGGCTTCAGGCGCCCACTGGAAACCTCAATTGCTCGCTGAATTCACTAACTCCAGAGACGGGGATGTTTCGCCCCGGGCAACCATAGAAATATAGCTCAACCACAACCAACGGAACGGACGAAAACGCCCTATGGTCTCTGCCGAGCCTGAAACCACCATCGCTAGCGATGACTCCAGTCCTGTGGAAACTGATTTTAAACACCCGTGGCCGATACAGCCTAGGTACAGATCCTAATCAGTAGCTCCCCAGGTTTTACCTGAGTCGACCACGGGCGGGCAAGAAAAAGTTTTTTTCTGTTCAGACAGGCAGCAAGACAAACTTCTTGTTTTAATAAGTAAAGGTAACACATAAAACGCTGAAAAACGCTCCTTCAGGCGTAATATAAAGTCTGAAAGCTTTCAGATTTTTATTATTTATTATTATTTTTATTTAGTCTGGACCATACTTTTTCACCCACTTTTTTACCTGGCTTTAACAATTTCGTATCAAACACTACGAAATTACTGTTCTCTTAAGCAAAATTTGCCGCTTTCTATTTATATTTCCTACGCACCTAAGCTTGATTTGCTTCGACCTGCGGGCAGAAAGACTTAGTGGATGCAAAACAAGACATCTCTCTGTCTACTATGGTTTGTGATGTGTTGATAATCAAGTGATTTGAAAATACTTGTCAGCTTCAATGTTTTGTAATTTCTGTAAAGATGTCTTCATAAATTTATACTGAACTGTCTGATTCATAAATTTATACTGAACTGTCACATTAACATTTTGTTGTAAGAATATTTATGAAAAATGTTTTATTTGTGTAGCTATTTAAATCCCATAAAACAAATGGTACGTTAATATAGTTCATGTAATTTTCAGCAACCCAAGAAATTTTAATAATTTGTCATTGTTATTTATTACAGTTTTTAATGGAGTCGTACATTTTCATTAGACATATTGAAAAATGACTGTAATTATATATAAAAAAGGATTTTATTTATGTATTGACTTGTGTTATAAAACATAAATTGTGTATTTATGTATTTACGTATTTTAGTTCATACTTAAACCATATATATTTCTTAATAATATATTATATATCAGCGTTAAGGTTTAATAGTACTTTGCAAAAGTATGGAACTGCTGAACTTTTAAAGAATTCACATAATTCATCAAGTGCTGAAGCGAATTAATTTATACTCGCGATATTTGAAATTCTGCGGTTAAGTATTTTAATAATTAGTAATAAGCATAAAAATGTATTTTAGATTTGTAGTTTTATTGTATCTAAATATTTATTCATTTTGATTTAGCCATGTTATCATCAAAGAAAAAAGATTTAAAATATCTAAGTGATGGTGTGGCTGGAAAATATGTCAAGAAAGATACACCTCCTGATTTACCTAGTAAGAGAACTTTTACTTGTCTTGATCTGATTAATTATAAGAAGTGTTTTTATAGTATGTTACTTTAAAATTGGAAATTTTAGGCTGCTTTTGCACCTGATTAGACTCATAATCTTGGGAACAGCAGCTGTAGAAAAAAACTCAAGTTGCTTAACATTTTATCTCACTTTATTTCCATTAAGTGTATTTTCTTCATGAAAAGTGCACAAATGCAGGCTCACTTGAACTACAATCTGAAATTAGATACAGAAAATAAATACTACTCCGTGATGACATGAGTTACGATTGTAAATTGGGGACGGGGGGTCTGAAAGGACTTTGACGTGCCTGTTTTAAAGTAATATACTACAGTAAGTGGCATATTCAGTTCCTAAGAACTTCACATTTCTAGTGTTCAAGCTATTAAGGTGTATGAATGTTGCCTAAAAATTACTTGATCATCAGTTATGTAAAAAATTGCGTAATATGCAGGTTTGAGTTTCCTCTGAAAGAATTATGTTTCGTTCAGGCTAATAGATAAAACTGGAAGAAATTAACAGTGGTGTATCTGTGGTGAGGCAGCTAAAAAAATAAAAGTTGTTTGAAATTTATTTAACTTATTGGGAAATGGCTTATTATTTCTGCAGTAAAATACAAAGTAATCAAATAATTTTCCCAAAACATTCCAATGAAATGTATGGTAGAATTCTTATTCATTTACTGATGTAATATTCACCGAATTTTTTTCTCTTGAATATGAACTAATTTTTTCAAAATTTCTCTATTTAAATAATACCCTATAGTATTTCAAAATTACAAAGTAATTTATTGCATGTAACAGCCAAAAAATGTTCTGTTTTAATATTTTGCAATATGGTAGTGATGGTTTAGATTCAAATCTGTAATAATGAATTAAATTTTTTTTTTCTTTTTGGATAAATGTATGTTTTTTTTTTATTATTATTATTTTATTTTATTTTTTTATTATTCCGTTATTATTATGAACTGAAATTCAGTTTTAAAATTTATTTAAACTTACGATGTGAAAGCAGATCTTGTAGCAAGTATAAGAAGTACATATTTGTAGTATCAAAGAAATTTATTGCATGTATGAAAATGAGGCTAAATATACATATAATAAAGATATTTAATTGACTAATCATAAAATTAAAAATCAGTCATCAAAAGTTCAATTCAATAAAAAGAAATTCTAGTTTTTGTGATCTGAGTTTATCAAGAAAGTAAGTATATGAACCTGATTTAAATGCTAATCCTTTATGTAGCACAATAAATAGGAGGAAATAACAGAATTCTATGACAGTACACTACACTTACTTCCTACATCAGAACACTAGCCCTAATCAGTTATAGCATATTAGTGCCATCTGTAGTCTGAAAATCACAAAAGAGTTCTAGATTCGGAATGAACAGTATAGTAGTGTTCGTTGTTGGTGCTAGACATTTTGCCACCCGGTGCATCTCTGCAGTTCATATATTGTGCCGCCCAATGATTCCCTAAAGACTAAACATTTTGCCACTTTAAAATTAATTACCACTGCCTGGTGCAGCCACAGAGGTTTTCTGGTGTTTCAAAATATTCTAATATCTATAAATCGACATCAATCACTTTTAAAATGTAACTTTTAATATGTACAATATTTACAGATCATTGATCTAAATATGGTGGTTCAGTTGACAAACAAATCTATATGCTTTCATAATCGAAAAATAGGAACCGAAGTGTTCCTAATCAAATAGTGTGTGAACCATCAGACATCTATCTATTGAGCTGCCGGTGGAGAGTCTATAGAAATTCAGAAGGCACGTTGCGTCACGTTAACGTGCAACGCTAGCGCCATCTATCAATTAATCAAAATAATTTCCACATCTGGCGCCTGCCTTCGTAATACCTTGCCAAGGGTTACCAAACATTTTTTATAAAGGGCCACGTTGTGAAAATTTTAAGTTCAGCAGGCCAAATAGCAAGCATAAAGATATGAATGGGTAATTTTCTCACAGTGCAAAAAAAAAAAAAAAAAAAAAAAAAAAAAAAAAAAAAAAAAAATTTAAATTATGAATTGGTATTTTTACATATTATTTAAACACATTTTGCTAACACTTACACACGTACGAAAACATGCACACTTATAGCTACCAAAAAATTAAAAGATATTCATTAACTTATTAAAAAATTTTCTTATTAAATAGATTAAAAATGCTAATGTGAAGAATATAATTGTTTTTCCTGAGATAATATTTTGTCATGCTGGAGTTGAAAATGAATACTTCCTACTATTAAAGTTGCTTCAAATGGTCATGTGTAAATAATAATCTGAATTACGATTTTACGTGCTTCAGTTTTGAAAATGTCTTTTCGCATTAGTAAGTACCCCCAAATATGGATATCCATCCCCATGCATATGATTTTAATTCAGCATATTTATAAAATTGAGCTAGATCCTTTTCATAAAACATCATTTTTAGCATATCCTTTTGTAAATATATCACTTCAAGTTGAAGCTGTGATGAAGCTCTTCAGTTATACAGTTAAATGGATTTTGAAACATGGAAATATCTTTTCCCCTTTCATCAGGATCCACAAAACGCTTTGTAATTGTAGTACAAGTTCAAAAAATACATTTCGTACAAATGTTTTTGGGAACAGGGATTTTTCTAATCTAAAATTTTTTAACAGTGCGGAAAATGGTCAGATTTGTTTAATGTTACTTGTGTTTTGAACCATGCAAATTTTCGGTGATATGCCTTTATCATAAAATACGTTTCACATGTGAATAGTTGTTTTCACCTGTAATTTTAAATTGAATTTGTTGAGATATCCCACAACGTCTGTGACAAATGCTAATTTCCATAGCTATTTGCTGATCAATAATAAAAAATATAGGCAGTTTTTCTCATTAAAAAAATATCTATGACTTTTCTCATTTCAAAGAATTTCAAGAAAACTTTTGCATTGCTGAGCAATCAAACAGCTATATGATAAGGAAAGCAGGATATTTCTCTCTTTAATAAAAATCCATGAAACTGGCAAGGGTTAGGTCCACATAAGAGCAAATGAAGTTTACTACGCATACAACTAGTTTAATAACACATGACAGATTGAGATGTTTCCCACAAAGGGCTTTCTAGTGAATAATACAAAGAATTACTAGAGATTTTTAAATATTTACCATCTTCAGAAGTCTTAAAAATTTGTCTTCCACCGCCAGTTGCGATGAATTTTAACCGATTTCCATTGCAAATTGTATTGTATTAGCATTTCCTTGACTTCCTTGAATATATCTTCTCCTGTAGTTTTCCCATGCAGATTAGTCATAGAAGCTAATTCTTCGATCACCTCAAATTTGGCATTGACCCCTCAAATAAACACCAACAATTGGGCAATATCTGTCAACTCGTCAAGAACCACTGACAACCCTTTGAAATTTTTTACCTTGTCTTTTAGTTGACTCTGATGTGCTTCCTGATGTCCTTAAGTCTTCTAATATTTGTTTTCTTAAAAACACTTCTGGATGAAAATATATCTATTTCAACTGCCACAAACAAACATAATTTAATTCACAATCAGTAAATGGTTTTGCTTTTGTGGGTAATAAATGAGCTGTTCGAAAGCCAAGTTACAACTTCATTATAATTTTTTAAATTATTTTTGTGAATAAATTGCATTGTGATAATGCATTCTGTTATAAATGTTCAAATTTTAATGATCATTCATTTTCTGTGAGGTTTGAATACCATTTGCGTGCTTAGTTTGGCAATGACAACGTATATTGTTAATCTTTTCACACAACTATTATGTCATTGCATATTAAACCTAAAACTTTGTTATTTAATTCTATAACAAAGTAATTGGCACTCCATTCTGCTTTAAAAGCACAACATTCAAGGTCTACTTTATTTGATTTCAAAAGTGTCATGGTAACAGCAGGTAGGTTAGTCATTACTATAGCTATCATTACCAAACTTTCTACAAGTCTTTTCTGGGTCTTGGAAAAGGTCAAAATCCACTTTTTTGCAAAAAAAAAAAAAGTAGCTAAAATTAGAGCTGTTAATTAAAAATTTAGAAAAATGATAATTTTCTCCCTTGTTTTTTCGAGTGGCAACAGTCTCGCAAGCTGGAGATGAAAATTTGCTTTATTTCGAAAGTTGTTGCCACTGCTCGCTTTCAAATTCTAGAGTTCGTTAATAAAAAATTTTAAAGTTTTACAATTAAATAAAAATAGCATTGCTAAACATTAAATACATTATTCCCAATTCCAAAAATTTGTGGGAAGACTATTCGACCGTTTCGACTATTCCGATTTTTGTACGACTTTAATTAGCTGAAATATTAATTAAAAACTCTCAAAGCACTAATTTTTGCACTCATTTTTCTGAGTGGCAACAGTCTCACGCGTTGGAGATAAAAATGCTTCATTTCGAAAACTGTTGCTACTGCTCTCTTTCAAATCGTAGAGTCTGTTAATATAAAATTTGTGAGTTTTACAAAATTTATACATATAAAGAAGAATGTTTGTTAGTGTTTTGTTTGTTTCTTCACATTATTGATTTCTAATCAATTATATTAAATTTTTTGCAACAATTTAATTGATTAAAATTCAATATAAGTAAAATATCGGATGGAACTTGAGCTTTTATGACCATTTAATTAGAAAGACAAAAATCATTCAAAACTGTGTGCCATTGTTGCTGATATAATGAGAGATAATTAGCTTATTTTTCTATTAAAAATTTTTATGTGGGTTTACATATCGCATCAGACTGAAAAATGTGTGACTATGAATTGTATTTTTTTCATCATTATTAGAGAAGGATTGGAACGATATTGTTCTCTCTGTTGTTAGAAGTGTTACTCTCAATCTAACTTAACTGGCATCGGGTACTTCCACTAGTGAATAAAATAAAATGAAAAGAACAAAATATCCTAGACTACCTTGTCAGACTTGCATTGCTATTGCAAAACTCAACATGCTCATGCAGCACATAATGCACAAACATTTTCG